TGTAGGTTCGAGAAAAGTACCTATCATTTGGTGCCGAAATCCGGGATCTCTCAACCCCCGCTGACAGGCAGAGGAAGACGCGCTGAATCCGTGCACGGCCAGAGTCAACAGGACCTGGAAAGAAAGACCCAGGAAGCAAAATTCTTCGCTGGGCCAGCGACACATGTCCGACTTTGTCTGCCAACGGCGGAGTGACGAGATCCGACTGGACAACCCGAAAACTACAGAAACGTAGGTGAATTTTAAAACTAAAGAAGTTATAAAGGTTTGAGTCCCAGTTGACAGAGTTTCAACTAAAGGCAAAAGGTAAGGCTCTTAGAGCCCCCTTACTTCGAGGACACCCCTTAAGGGCAAGTCCTCATGTAGATAGGAAGCTTATTATTACTGTTCTGTTATTACTGTGCTGATATTGCTGTTTTGCTACTGCTGCTTTGTTGATGTGTGTGTATGAAGGAGTGAATGGTGCTTCTTTCTCTGGGAGTAAAACACTCTGTCTTCGGAATTAGAATCCAAAGTGAAGAACCGCTTGGAAGCTCGGCTCCAAGTAGAAGCCTGTTCTTCAGAAGGCACTGAGCGCTGACCTACGGCACTTTCTCTGAGAGAGCACATAATACCAAAAATTTTCAAGCTAAAATTGCAAGTGATTTAAATAATGGGAAACACATATTTTTGTAATTCCTCACTTGTTGAGGGCCCTGACGGGGATGAAAAGTACATGCTGTCCAGATTTCCTGGTAGCACTGTACACATGAAAAAATGGAGAAAGAAATATAAAATAGATGGGAAGCTAAAAATTGATCAATGGCAAACAATTGTGGGAATTTTGGAGAGTAGTGTAGAAAGACAAGCAGGAATAAAAAAAAGCTCAACAGGAGGATGAGCTGAGGTGTACTAAATTATGGTTAAAAGCAGCCACAGACCGGAAAGAACAAATTAAAAAGGTTAATGACAAAAAATTCGTAGAAGCAAAAAACATATTTGTTAGACCGAAAGATAATAAAGTCATTCTAAGCACACGGAATGCTGTAGCAGTGCAGGGAGTACAAGCTCCAGCAGCCACCCCTCCCCCTGCCGCTGCAGCAGCTCCGTCTGCCCCCACTGCAGTCCCAGCAGCACGACTGTACCCTCATTAGAGGAAGGTGCACAAAACTTATATGTTTTTACACCCTGGACCTTAGAAGAGGCCATTAAGGCTGTGAAAGGATTAGATGTTTTTCACCTGGATGAATTTAGAGGTTTAGAAACCTCTGCTTTTTCCAACGGCCGGACGAAAGGATGCGGAAGAAGCAGAGGCAGAGGAGGTCACAATAGGCGACGACCCCAAAATAACACCCCACAAAATCCACGGCATTTAAATGGCTGCTGGACTTGTGGCAATACTGGCCACTGGTCAAGAAACTGCCCTCAGCATGATCAGACTCTACCACACTCCAAAAAGACAAACCACCAGACTAAATTGATGAAATAGTGGACACATGTGCAGCTTGTTACACATTAAGTAAAAAATAAATAAAAGAAATTGAATTTCGGTACAAAACCAGTGCATGCAAAATAATTAAACCTAAAAATTAGGTTTAAACCTCACAAGTCAGAAATAATTAATTTTAAGAAACACTGGTGTTTGTTTTGTTTTGTTTTTTTTTAGCATTCCTACACTTTCAAAGAAAAACCAGTTGAGAGATGTCTCACTGAAATAAAAACATGGGAACAACCTTTTTGCATGCTAAAAGTGGAATTATGACTTTCCTGAAGGAGGAGAAGCTGAAAAATAAAATTAAAAAATAAAATTCTCCCCAGAGAACAGTGTTTAATATATTGTGTCGTAATCAGATTATAACACCAACTTGGTGAAATGATCCTTTGGCTGTATAACTGGAGGGGTCAGAGGTCAGAGTAAGGTACTGACCTGGACATTATCCAGCCTCGTTTCTCTCTTAGGCTTTGAGAGGAGGGGTGACAGCTGACCTCACAGTCTGCAGCACTAAGATCGACAAATTTAGAGAAATCCATTGTTCTCTGGTGAAACGTGACACAAATGAAGTTAACATAAACTTACATTCTACATTTTAAAGGTTAATATATACTACAGCTTTTAACATGTTTCATGTTTATATGTGTTTGAATAAGGAAAGTATTTATGATTTCTTAAAATGTTGGGTAATAAGTGGCTAAAAATTATAAGATGAAAAGAAAGAAAAGTTATATGGAAAATGTTTGTAAAAAGAAAAAAAAAGACAAAAAGATGAACAAACCCTAATTGACTCTTATTTGCTTCTTTCCTTTTCCTCTGTCTGAGCCTCGCTGCGATGCATCTGACCTCCCACCTCAACTCAAACCTGTCCTGCCGATCAGATGACATCCCTCCTTCATCACTAGCCAATGACAGTTGATAAAGAAGCGAAAAAGGACAGGATGATTTCTGCCACCTGGGTACCGAAGGCACTAAAATGTCCGCTGATCCTGATTCCTGGACAGCTGGGAACTGCCATGCAGCAGACTACTGTATGGAGTCCTGCTGGACATTTGGACTGGAACTAAATCTCTGTGTTTGACTGCAACTGAAGTTTTACAATCCCCGCTGGTTTACTCTTTGGCATCAGCGTGGAGAAGGAAAATAATGTGTTTGAAAGAAAATACTGTGATTCAGAGACGAAGACAGCAAACTGAACTGTTTTTCGCTTGTTTCATTGGTGGACAACCTGGACATTCACTAAGGGACGGTCTGGACAACTTATAAATAATCCAACACCAGAGCTAGTTGGACTGACAGGGAGCTGGAGGAGAGACGGAGGGAGGACCAGCTGCAGCGACGCCAGCAGCAGGAGGGGGAAGCGAGAAACGAGACAGAAAGGATAAATACGAGATAAGTTATACACACACTGCTGTGATAAAGAATGTGCTTAATAATCCTGTTTGCATATAGGAATTATCTACCCAGAAAAGAACATTTTAAAGGTTTTTAGGTACAATGTTAGACAAAATCATTCACTTTGTACCCGTTAACTCAGTCCTTAACAGAAGGACCAGTGATCCTCTTAGGGCCCGAGCCATAGGTTGGGAAACTGTGAAGGAAAAAACTGTAATGACTAAAAGTTAAGAAAAAAAACAAACAACAACTGATAGTGTGATACGGCTAAATTACACCAACTAAAAATTATTACAGATTCAAAGCTAATAATGATTTGCAAATGTTTTATTTTATTTTTTCCTTTAAAAGAGATACTAGTTTGGAACTAAATTAAACATCTCTAAGTGTTGAAAACAATTGATATTGCAATGTTGAAATATTATGAAATATTTCGTTGAATTTAACTGAAAGGTTTAATTTAGAGTTTAATTCTGTAAAGAATCTACAAATCGATTGTTTTTGTGGGATTTTTCATATTGGAATGAATGAAAATTATTATGAGAAGAGAGAAATGTTACTACAAAATTGAGTAACGGATGAAACTATTGACCATTTAATTTAAAATATAAAAAACTTACGTTGTTAACTTGTCTGAAATGCAAGGTTAAGTGAAAGTCTGAGACTTTAAGCAACTTGGTAGATATAAATGGCTACTAAAAATTGATGATTGTGAATAAAAGCAACATTTTTTAGATTTCAGTCTAAAACATTTTAATCTAGATTTGATTGATAGTCAATAAATTCAAAAAGAAAAATCTTGAATTAGAGGATTTGAGATTTGGTTAAATTAAAGATGGACATTTTTATTCTAGAGAAATTAGATAGAAATGTTGAAAGTTGCTGAGTTTAACAAAGAAAAACCAAAATATAAACCTGCAATTATAAGACGTGTCCGCTAAAATATCTTCTATAAACCTATGAGTTCACCTGAATTAAATATTAATCCTCCCAAAGACTTTATTTGAATCTTAAGTGATTGTGACACATGGGCAATGCCATGTGTAAAAAGGGGGGAAAAGGGAAAATGGTGAGGTAATACTATATAACTACTAAATTCATACATAAAATTTTTTTTTGTTATGAATTTTTGAGTTAACAAATACTGTTAGATGATGATTGATGCTTTTTCTAAATGGGTTGAAATAGTTCCAGCAAAGCATGCAGATGCTTTGACGGTAGCTAAGGCTATCTGCAAAACTATTATCCCAACACACGGTATTCCACAGTCTGTTTATAGTGACAATGGACCGCATTTTGTAAACCAAGTGATACAAAACATGGCTACTCACTTGGGAATGACATTGAAAAACCACTGTGCCTATCACACTCAGAGTGCAGGGCTGGTGGAAAGAACAAATGGTACTGTGAAAAGCAGATTAAGATTGTGCATGGAAGACACTGGCCGATCCTGGCCAGAATGTTTAGAGTTAGTGAAGCTCTATATGAGAATCACCCCGACAGCTGATGGTCTAACACCTTCTGAAATAATTCATGGGAGAGCTTACAGATTGCCTCTGTTTGCTGCAGACATTAGCAGATTATATGATCAGGACTCTTAAACTGAAGGAAGTGTCCAGAGCAGAGAGCAAGTTCTGGCTACACAGGGGTTCCATTTTTTTAGGGTGGTTTGTCTCAACGCCAGTGAAGAAACTCGACACATCCTCACTCTTTAGTTTGGGGGTTCTGACATCTCTGCGTGCCGAGCAGCGATGGGGACTCCATATGCCAGATTGATCTTCTACTGCGCTGTGACTGCAGCATGTCTGATGTTTGGAGGAGGAAGTGACCTCACTTTTCACCCACATGACTACAGCACAAACCTGTGGTGGCAGCTGATGAGCAGGACTGCTCACAAGGAGAACGAGGTGAACTGCTATGTGTGTGCGCAGCTGCCATTCGCCACACACAACTCAGGTCTGCACCCAGGGAGCATCACTGATGACAAACAGATGTGTCTCTATCTGTTTGTCGTGGTTGTGTGCTTGAGCACACAACCACGACTCAGTGTCCCCATGCCAAAGGGATGCAAATGGTGCAAAAAGGACTATTCTGTTCTACTTCAGACAGGAGATGCCGCGAAAGGACTTTTTGGATCTATGAACTGTTAAATTAATGCTGACATACTTCCATTTCCACCGTTTCCACAAACCGCATGGAAAATACCAGAGACCATTTCTTTAGCAGGAGCTAAACCCGGGTCTCTGAGTAGCTGTGTGTACAACAACGGACACGTTCTTCTTGGGATGTTACCTTGGAACCTGTGTAACAAAGTTTACACCTACTGCGAAACGACACCGGATTACATCAACTGCATCGCCTGCAGGGGTCAGAGGGCGACCCCCGACTGTAGAGTCTGGAAGGACAACCCAGACTGTGACAACTTGCTTCAGGAGAAAAATTTATGCAAGGCATGTTTTCATGGGTTGGAGTAGGTGAGATTCGAAGTCACGTTGAGATCAACAGATACAACTCAGCATCAGTGATCCTTGATATGCTTGGCTATAAGAGCAACCATACGACCCAATATCCACCATGGAAAAG